TCAGTAAACCTGTTTTATCCTACATCAACCACTACTTTTATGAAGAGACAGACAGAAGAATATTGCTATACATTCATTAAACATTTGTAATAGAATTCTGGCTATGCTGCTTGTTGTAAGCCATCTGCCACTTACACTGAGCATATACCAAAACTTTGTGTGGAAATAATAAAAATGTACTGATTTAATTTCCTGGAAATTTGCCTGAAGAAAGTGCTGGTGATCAGGATCATAGAGCACAGTTGCAGTTTTAGAAAGATATTTAGAACAAAAGCCCTACTCAAGGGCAAAAGCTTTTTTCAAAAAGTGTTGTTGGGCATCTGAGACCATACATAGTCTGAATTTAAAAAGAAAAAAAAAAGTTGGACTTCAAGAATCCGATGCAAGTCCTAGCATATGACTTTATGAAATGTATTTTAATCTGATAACATGCACTGCACATTGGAGTATATAATCTATTTTAAGACATTTTTACAGAAAACCATCATAGTCAAATGCAATGACTGGCATTCCTACAATTGCAGAAGGGAAAGATAGCACTGACTGGAAAAAAATTTTAATTATACAGCATTTCTCTATAGTCTTATCAAATCAGTTTCATTCTTATTACAATCTTCCATGGATTTGGCAGATTTCATAGACTACTAATATGAAGTCCGGTCTCAGTAGGAGAAAACAGAAATGGGAACCCTTAAAGATTCACAGAACAGGTAAGCCAGATGCCTAGGTATTTCCTAACTACACCACAAATGTATCTAGGACTAGCCCATACTTGGCCACCTAAAAACTTTGAGTGGATGGGGGTTTTTTTGTTTTGTTTTAAATTAGAACTAAAGAAATGCATATATAGATAGTTTCATTATAAAATATAAGAGGAATATCTATATATGTATACTTATAGGTACTTCTCTTCAATTACAAACTATAAAGACTATCACCTACGTGTTTAAAAAAACCTACGTCTTAAAAAAAAAAAAGAGGAAAATTCCTTTGTACAGAGACACGAGCTTCCAAGGGATTCTTAACATTATTGAGATTGAAAGACAGACACTTACAAGTTCAACTCACAAAAAATCCCAACACCCACCACAACAAAAATGCAAACCCACATCCCACACTAATCAAGATATTTCTTCTGAGCAGAATAGCAAGTAAACAATAGATAAGAGATATGGTATACTGGGGTTACATTAAGGATGGCTGTTAATACTACCATTAAACAAAAATGGCAGCCACGTATTAACTTCATAGTACAACCATACAGTTTAATTATCAAAGGCTATGATTTTTGAAACCCAAAATCATTTTCCTGACTTAAACAGAGGAAGAATTATTGCAATTTGTAACCAATATAGAATTATGAGAATACGAATGAAAATTAAAAAGAAAAAAAACACACTTTGGAGAAAAAAATAATGCTGTTTAAACCAATTCTTGTTTGAGGCAACAACATATCTAAAACTGGGAATGGAAAGAATATAACAGTTCCTTTTAGTAAATGGACCTAAATCATTATGACAGTTTGATAGTCTCAAAACTGATGCCTACATAAATCTTATAAACAAGTCTAGCAATTTCTTTTGTTGCATTAGATACTGATTATTATTATTATTTAAGAAGTTTTCAGGATATAGGATAAAAACAGAATTGCAGTTCAGGAATACCTGAATACGGAATAAGGGGAAATGCAGTACATTCATGATGGGTTTAGATAACCTATGTATGGTATTATAGAAGGGTAACCAGTGAGCTTAAATTCAATGCATGTCTTAATAGAAATTAGTTTTCAGTTGTAGACAACAACTGATACCAGGAAATTCTGTACTATGCCACTGAGTCTTTTAATAGCTTAGCAGGTTACTAACACAGTAATTTCTAAGAATGGATCAACATTCCAAATCCATAATGGTACATTTTGTGGCCTAAAACCCCTTAATAAATGCGTTTGCCCAACTAAGGGGGGGGGTGGGAATCAATCAAAATTACTGCAATACTTTTTGTCCAAGCTGCAGAGCAACTGTGATGGTTTAAATGTCATAGGTGAGGAGAAAAAAAAAGATTACTAAGGAAAGAAAGCCCTAAATTTTGACTGTGATAACTGTTTTTACATCCATTTAGCTATCTATTTCAAATTATTTTATGTAATTTTTAGTCATGTTAAGTACCTGTTTCATCACTCATGTAATTACAAGCAACTGTGAACATCATGCTTTAGGGAAAAATGTATCATATTCAAAGGAAAGTGCTCATTCAAGCTAATTATTTTTCAAACTAACTGACAGGGAAGAATATCCTAATTGCTCATAAGCACAGTAAATTTCATCTCATCCTTTGTGTCACTGAAACAGGTATGATCAATTATATGCTCTATATTACTTTCTCTGCAAAATAAGGCATCTGCCTATAGGCAAGCTTAACCTTTAAGCAGCTTATTTAAGGAAATATTTTAAGACTTCAGCTCTAAAGTCTTGCTTGTCCAAACTAAAGCGCTCCAGCAAGTAGGAGAAAGAGGTGCAAAATTAAACCACTCATGTGAAACCACTGAAAACAACATGTATAGATATTTGATCACACCAAACTATATTGGAAGCAATATACAATGATACGTTTTCCCACTTATCTGTGAGGCTTAAAAACTATAACTAGCACTGAAAACAGACACTACCATAGTGTTAAGAAATGCTGCTGTCTCAAATTGAAGTTAAAAATGTGACTTGGTATGCCACACTAATCTACCAGTGAGATAGAATTTAAATAGCATCTCTAAGTATATCTCATGTTTCAAAGGGCATTCTCCAAGCAAGAATATATTCCCTTGTAGCTGAAAACTTATCTTTGTCCAAAAACAACAAGCAGACAAAAAATACATACTTACCTATAGTGATGTAAATTATTTAAGGCTACAAATGAAAGCTGCAGGCATTCCACACTGATACATGAAAGCCTTTAATGTATACACTGCCTAGTTGTGTACATTGCCATAATTTTGTCATTGTTATTTGCATTCTGTTTCCTTGATAGTTTCAAAAGAAACTCATTTATGCAGATAAAATTTCAAAACACTTAATATTAGAAGCTTGGAAGGATTTCTTTCTCAAACTCAATGTTAAAAATGATGTAAAACGTCATGTAAAAATGACAGTAAAATAAAAAGTATCCCTTACAATAAAGCTCATTTTAGATCCATTCCTTCCCAAAATTACATAGGGCAACATATTGATACGACTTATTTAATTTTTAAGAATTCCTAAGACAGCATGAACAGTAACTAATTCATTGTCTTCTGCTGACAAACCAGATGGACTAAATGCTATTTTATTGATTTATTTGAAAGCTAAGATTCTCACTATTTTCTAAGGTTTTCACTACAGTTTGATTGAGATGGGAGCACTCAGATTGCAGTAATTTCTAGAACAAATATATTACAGGAATAAACTTGCTGTATAATTTTTAAGTTTCTAGCTTCACAGTGTTGAGGTACAGTTAGACAGAACTATGCTTAAAGAACAAAAGTGAAAAATGAAAATAACTAGAAAAAAAAATCACTTAAAACCACCCTAATTTCCCTAAAAGTCTGCACTTCTGCCTCCCACGTGACCCTCGCAATAGATGCGAACTTAATAAAGCAAAAAGCTGCGTTTGCTTTAGAAAATATGTTAATGAATTTCTCAAACTGGAAAAGCCTTTTCCTATCACAATCTTGCCTCATCTGCTGCCTTTTTAAAACCATCTTCCAGATAACACATGTTCTTCGTAATAAAAAATAGGATCACAGAAGGTGTGCAAGTAAAAGTGATGATGATTTGTCAAGACATTCATTTTCATATTTTGCCTGGTATTTCTCTGACAGCCATAACAGTGGTGTAAATTAATTTTCTGAGCGGAGATTTATGAATGGCGCTCTGCATTTTAAGGGTTGCAGTTATAAGTAGAGGCTTCTGTATCTTTTTCCTAATGAATGCTTCCTTACACCCAGGGAGATAGAATACCAAGATTATGAAAAAGGAAAATGACGATGAGATATTCAGTCAGGTTATTATTTTTGCTAAGATTAAATGTTACAGCTTCACCAAATTTAAAAGAAATCTTTCAGATTTCTTAAGAAGCACCAAAGCCTTTTGCTGAATTCCCAAAAGAGTCCATACTGACATGCAACGGATTAAAGAGGAAGTAATGTTTGCTATGAAAAACTGTCTAAATACCAGACAACATATATTGTATTCATATGTCCTTTATTTTATCGCTTCTATGTAAAATTTACATCACACAGGTATGCAAAATTTTATATGTGATGCTCTAATAATGTGCTGTCAGTCCTATTAAACAGATTTTCCCTCAAGTCTTTAAGTTTTCAGAAACTGAGAAATGGACTCTACAAAGTATTATTTCCCTCTTGATTTCACTTGCATTAGAAAAAGATAAAATATATCCTAATGAATGTATTTTATACCAATTTAACTAATACATTTCAGTTAAAAAACCCACCATTTTTATTTCTAAACATTTCTATCTATTTCTATATATTTAGGTCTTTTAGCTAGCTAGAATATAAGCTTCCTTTAAGGTAGAAAAGGATAGCATGAAGAGTAAGAAATCAGTACATTGCTTGTCAATTAAATTTGTATAAAAAGCAGAAACATACAGTTGACAATATCAATTCTTCTATTATACCACTTCATACTACTTTTTAGAATATTGTAAGATTTTTTTGACACAGTAACTTAGTTTACTTAAGGGGTTTTTGTTATAAACCCATTTCTTTTACTATAGTAGTAGCAAGGTAATCAAACAGTAAGCAATTACGAATAATGCAATTGCACTAAGAGAATGATACCGCACTCTCACACTACATTCTCTGAAAATTCTACCAAGAAACTTTCATCTGTTTCGGAAGATATGTCCAAAATACTGAAAATAAATAGTGAGCAATACATCTTTCCCCCCACTCCCTTCTCAGTATGAATCACAACTTAAAATATAAAATGCAATAAAATTCCTACCTCTTTCATTAAGACTGTTTAGCACTGCCCTTTCAAGCTGTTCTTCTTCAGTAAGCCCACCTGTATAATCATAATAACTCCTTGGCATTCTGTATTGATAACCTGGATAGCCATAATACTCTGTAAAATGAATACAAAATAAAATAAACTGCTGCTACTCAGTAGGAGAATATGAATTAGATATTATCTTTACGCTTTCTTCCACAAATTATTTTAATTTGGGAAAGAAGAAAATTATTAGGATTCAATTACTTATACAATATATACCATGAATCAATTTCTAATTCACAAACCCAGAGTACAGTAACAGGAGAGAGAAAAACAACAGAAATAAGATGGATCAAACATCTGGGTTTTTTTATAATTGTTATAAGTGTCACAGAATTGCCATTATTAAGAAGTTTCACATAGAAATTGAAAGACAGTTTTCATCAGCTCCTTTTAACATTTAATTGCTAATACTTGGACACCTTATTAATATCACTAGAACAGCAACAACAAAACAGGTATGTTTCAGGCTTTTTCCCACCTGTGTTTCCCTTCCCCTCAATGTCCATAAACAATACATGCCAATGTCATAAATTCAAGTAATGTTTGGACCTAGAAAACACATGGGAAAAGATTCCTGCAATTTTTTTGCAGTAATATATACAGCTAATATTGTCCTATTGCACAGCTACATCTGCCCACGAAAGAAACCACCACACCATAGATCTCATCTAATGTCACAATCACTGTATGTTGACTGCACTACTGACACTAAGAATTTCTGACCATTTGCAAAGTTTGTCAAAATGAAGCACAAACCATCATCCACCCAAACACATGGGATTTAAAAGAAAAAAATTACTTGGCTAGAAAATTGAGCGAGACTCTCTTCCTTTTAACACAATCTGATCCTGCCTGAGCACAGAAAATCTAAACTGAGGAAAAACTAAGGAGAAAAGTGCCATTTTTCTATTCTATTTTCCCATCTTCAAAATACAAAGCTTTAGGTGATATTTTAATTTCTCTTCCAGACAGCTGACAGGGGATTTTGAAGAACCAAAGTACAGAAGCATTGCCAGTTTCTTCCAACTGATAGAAAATGTACACAAGTTTTTCAAAATGAAATAATTAGAAATATTTTTGTATGAAACAATACAGCATGCCATTTCCTTTTATCTTCAGATTATTAGCATCAATGACAGTCTTATGTTATCTCATTAGTTATATGGATTTCATGTGTAACCTTCTTGTGGAGCTTCTGTGATTAGTTACAAGCACAGACTATGTAGTGGACATATAAATAATTTCTTTTAAAAAATGACTGCATTAAAAAAAAATCCCAAGCTCTAGAATGTTAAGACAAATAAAAATAGCAATACCCGTTCTTAAAGTTATACAAGAAAAGCAGGAAAAATTGAACAGAGTGACAGCACACTATTCTGTACAGGAGTATATATATTCATTCCTCTGTGTGTATTATGCAGATATACCTACATATATTTTATACACACATGTCTGTGCACATGGATATATGTATACATATATACATTATATACACACACATAGAGGAAAAAGTGTAATTCTGTCCATTTGAAATTTTTCCCTTTTGGAACATAAAACTGACACTGGGAAAATTTTCATACATCTGCAGTGAACACTTTGTATTACCTTCCAGTAACCTGAAATTCTGCCATTTCTCAAACGATCAGCAACTCCTCTGGTTAGAAAAGATTATTTTTGGTTTTTATCTATATGAATTAGTAATATTTTTAACAAACTTTAGGAGCCTTCAAGTCATACTGGCTATGTTTAAGAGACATAATTCTGCAGAAAAATAAAACTGACTGCAGGATACCATTTAGCTGTTTATATATACACACACACACTTCAGATGCAATCTTCATGTATTCCCCTTATTGCATTCTGCATTATGTTAACCTGAATGAACATTTCCTCAGCTATAAATTTATTTTCTGGAGGCTTCAAAACTGCATGCATGAAGACTATAAAAATTTTGGTACTAAAAGCATGAAATTATCTGATGAAAGAAAAAGGATTTTATATTTTAAGTTTGTTTATTACTATATATTTTTGTATGTTTGATGTTTTACACTGTCATCAAGTTAAAAGTGCTCAGAAAGCCATAATCTTTTATTTTACAACAAGAAACAGTTCGGTAACATTGACACATTCAAGGTGTTCCTATTAATCAAAATAAATGTCCTAATACTTTATTCATGAACTGCATTTAGAGAAAACCTAATTCAGTTACTAATTACCAAATGTGTTAAAATTACACTTAAAATAATTTTTTTCTTCTAAAGCTGTTTCCTTGTACTGTTTCATAAAATCTGTTCTGATCATAACTTCATCTATTTTTCTATTTAAATTGGTATTTAAAGGCAGATAGTAATAAATCAGCAATACCAGAAAATGAAAAATTAATCAAGATATGCATCATTAGCCCATGACACTAGAGTTTTCTTAATTCACAGATGGCCAAATTTATTACATATATCATACACCAAGCAAAAGGTTAAATCTTCCATAAAGACTTCTGCAAATAGGATGAAAGACAAAGTATATACACAGGGAGTGAACATAACAAATATACATTTTTTTTAAATTGCAGTTGTAAGTCATTTTAGAGAAATTAATTTGGTACAAAAAAATTTTTAAAAAGTAGTTACAACTAAAGCCAAGCTTGGAAGACAGGATAATTCAGGTTAACCCTCTCCTTTATCTCCCTTTTGTCCACAACAACTCAAAGTAACAGCATGGCTACTTCAGGAACTGCCCAAGCGTACTGGGTTTGCGTGGCAAGGTTTTGGTAGCAGGGGTGGCTTCTGTGAGAAGCTGCTGGAAGCTTCCCCTGTATCTGACAGAGCCAATGCCAGCCGGCTCCAAGGCAGACCCACCGCTGGCCAAGGCCGAGCCCATCAGCGACGGTGGTAGCGCCTCTGGGATAACAGGTTTAAGAAGGTGGGGGCAGCAGGGAGGGGAACCTGCGCAACAGAAACTGCAGCCGGAGAGAGGAGTGAGAACATGTGAGAGAAACAGCCCTGCAGACCCCCAGGTCAGTGAAGAAGGAGGGGGAGGAGATGCTCCAGGCACCGGAGCAGAGATTCCCCTGCAGCCCGTGGGGAAGACCATGGCGAGGCAGGCTGTCCCCCTGCAGCCCAGGGAGGTCCACGGTGGAGCAGATATCCACCTGCAGCCCGGGGAGGACCCCACGCCGGAGCAGGGGGATGCCCAAAGGAGGCTGTGACCCCATGGGAAGCCCGCGCTGGAGCAGCATACCCAGGCCCTGATGGACTGAACAGTACCTGTAGCTAGGTGAACATTTTTAATGGGGCTGAGACTGCCAATCACAGAAACAGGTAGCTCATGCTCACTACATAGTCTGTGTTGACATCTTACTCCATTTCACAATATTAATTTTGTTCTATTTCTTTACTGGCCTTCAGATCAAGTGGGTTTTTAGTTGAGAACTGGAATAATGGAAATCCTGGGTAAATATACCTTTAAGTTACAACTATCCTTGTTGCTGTTGGTAAGGAAAGTAGGTTAAGATCTTTTGGTTAGGAATTACAAAACAAATGCTTCAAAAATATTCAAGGGCCTATAATCTCACTTGTGGGAATTACTAAATGTAATAATAAAATTGGAGGTAGATCATGGAAGACAGAATTCATCATGGAGGATAAAAGCAGCACTAACCTTGGCTCACTGTGGCTCAGAGTAAGCGTGTCTCACTTTTAAAAAATTAAAAACCCTGCATCACTAAACGTCAGGGAGCAGTAAGAATGATCAAATGTATGAAATAGTTTTCATATAAGCAACCATATAGACTGCAACTTTTCAACCAGAGAAAGAAGATGACTATGGTGAGTATAGGACTAAAGTCTATAAAACCATAAAGAATATGAAGAAAGTATGTGAAGGATGAAGATTTAGTTTCCCTTCCCAGAGAAGAATTAGCATGCATCAAACGAAATTAGCAGCTAGCACGTTCAAAACAAACAAAAATGACAGATTCTACACCAGGAAGTAAACTGTGAAATAATTCTTCTATGATGTTGTAGGTGTTAAAAGACTTCACACCAATTCAAAGAGCTCTTGACAAATTCATGGAAGAAGAATCTATCACAGGCTATTAAAGACAAAATTCCCCCATAAAACTTTCTGCTGAGAACATCTTTAAGTCAAAAGCCCCTGCACACTGGCAGATATTTGAGGGAGTTATCACTACATATTTATCCTGTTCTTACATCAGATGTCTAGGAAAGAGTATAAATCACTGCAGGAGAAGATACACTAGGCTATACATCCCTTAGCTCTGATCCAACACACAGCTCTTCTCACAGCTGGCTCCTATTCTGTCCCTCCCAGACAAGGCCTCCATCTATTATTTCTATACACTCCACATATGACTTAATGTTCTGCACAAGTGAATCAAACATGCTACATTTAAAGTGTGCTAGTATTCCAACTATCCATCTATATACTGTGAAGATAGCCTAAATTTATTCTGGTGAGGAGTGGGCTTTTTGCATGTAATTTAAATCAAGATTTAAGAAAGCATTCAAAGGAAGAAGTTCCTTGTCGGACGGGGGAAAAAAAACATCCCAGAATGGAACAGATAAATTTGCGAGATCAGGGTAGATTTACCAAGGTTCAAAGGGCTGCTTTCAGTAGACACAATTTTCCCCCAAAACACCTTCTGCAAAAGGGATATTTCCCCAGGGTAGCATTTTATGAAGTCATGACATTAATTTGAAGTTTAAAGCTTGTTGTACAAAATACATCCACAGAGTTCCCTAAAAAAGAGGTGAGACATGGCCAGAGAATTAATGCAAGTTTAGCAACTATACATATATGCAGAATATCTTGTATATTATGTATGTTTCCATTTAACTAGCTCCTCTATAGGTTTTCTTTCATTAGCAAAAATGATTTTTAGAGCTGGATTAAGTTTTTAGGTAAGTGGGTGAGAGTACCTACCTGGATAGTAGTCCCTTGGCCTGGCAGGGTCAGTGAATGAAGAAATGCCACCTAAATAAGAATAACACGCGTACTATTAGAATAAAATAATCACATTGCCTTTATAAAATACAAAAATCAAATTTAAAGTACTTCTTTCAGAGTCTGTTTCATAAGATACAAATATGAAACCACGCGTATGTCTGAATTTTTCTGGCATCAGTGAGAAAATATAGTATTGGCAAGCTTGTATGTTGTTCCAGATTTTATAGTAGTGTGCCATGTTTAAGCAACATATCCATGTAAACTGGAAAAATGCAAACCAACCTAACAAATGTTCTCCAGAACATACAACGAATAATTTCTGCACTAAGACTGGACATTGGTAAAAATAGGTTAATGCACAGAAAACTGAGGACTGGAATAACAGTTCACTGTTTCTGCTCTGCTACATGGGAGAAAAAGATGACCTGTGTACTGGAACACTCCTTCCTCCAGGTCTTAGTCACACAGCAACAAGATCTCCACAGGAGGTTTTACTAACAGTGCCATTGGTTTTATCAGAAAATCCTAGAATAATTCAGTTTGGAAGGGACCTCAGAAGGTCCCTAGCCCAACTCCCACTCAGATCAGGGTTAGCTATGAGATCAGACCAGATTACTCAGTCAGGTCTTTACCTTGGTCAAGTCTTGAAAACATCCAAGGATGGAGACTGCTGAAATCTCCCTAGGCAGCATGATCCAATGCTTGACTCTTCTAATAGTCATCAGATAGCCCTCCCATGCCACAGAAACATGCAATATTAACATTTAACTAATGTGACTCTTTAGGTCTGTTCACTCCAGTGGGGTAAGAAATCTGGTACTTTGGTCTCTATTTTTCCCACTTAAAAACTGCTAAACATTCATGACTGTCCTGGTTTCAGCTGGGATAGAGTTAACTGTCTTCCTAGTAGCTGGTACAGTGCTATGTTTTGAGTTCAGTATGTGAAGAATGTTGATAACACTGATGTTTTCAGTTGTTGCTCAGTAGTGTTTAGTCTAAAGTCAACGATTTTTCAGCTTCTCATGCCCAGCCAGCGAGAAAGCTGGAGGGGCACAAGTAGTTGGCACAGGACACAGCCAGGGCACCTGACCCAAACTGGCCAACGGTGTATTCCATACCATGGGACGTCCCATCTAGTTTAGGAACTGGGAAGTGGGGGCGGGGAATCGCCGCTCAGGGACTGGCTGGGTGTCAGTCAGCGGGTGGCGAGCAATTGTGCTGCGCATCATTTGTACATTCCAATCCTTTTATTATTACTGTTAACACTAATAAAATGACACCATTATCATTATTAGTTTCTTCTTTTCTGTTCTATTAAACCGTTCTTATCTCAACTCATGAGTTTTACTTGTTTTCCCTATTTTCTCCCCCATCCTACTGGGTGGCAGGGGGAGTGAGTGAGCAGCTGCATGGTGCTTAGCTGCTGGCTGGGTTTAAACCACAACAATGACTTACAGACTGTATCACCAAACTGCAATAAAACCTCCTGTGAAAAGCATACACATGTGAACAAATTTCCCACTATACAAACACCGTATCCATGGTCAACTTTATGGCACAGTCATGAATAAAGTATTCAACCTACTAAGTAATCAGACATAAAAACCAAATATTCTGACAACCAACCCCAGCACAGCTGTTGTGACAGGGCTCAGACTTCCAATTAGAACACTGAATTTATGGGAGTGTTCATATGAAAGTTTGCAGGAATGTATTTAAAACAATTGTTAGACTAAAGATGTGTAAAGATACAATCTTTTTTAAAAATAAGTATTACTATAATATGAAAAACTGTAGTAACACGTTGGAGAGCTTGAGAACTCCAGTAACAATTTCTCAAGCATCCCACAACCTTTTTCAAACTGTAGGGACTTCCACTAGAATGGACAGAAGTAGTAGAAATCAACATGGAAACATACTGTATTCTGACATATTTTTATGGCTTTACCACACTTCATTTAAGTAACATTTTCATTTACATCCTGTATGAAACATTTTACTCTAAATAAACATTTAAAAAGAAGGGTAAAAGTTATGCCTCTAAGTAAAAATATCTGAAAGACGCATTTACTGGTTCTTATAATCCATATTTAAGAAAAAAAGTTGTGTTTTTTCTTCTGCATTCACTTTAATAATCAGCGTATCTTTAATTGCCTAAAAACTTGCTGGAATGGCCTGAATTTCTATATGCAAGACTTACTGAATTTTAAAAATAAAAGCATCTCTTATGCAAATTCCATAAATTGAACAAAATTAAATACCTGCACAGGCTTTCATGATCTTTTTCAGAGGTCCCATAGTATACATCAATCCAACAAGAATCCCTGCCAGATGCCCAGCAAAAGAAGTCCTACAAAAAAAGGAAAATCTTGTGAGTGATAGAACACTCTTTTTGTAAGGGTCCAGAAGGGGAAGTGCAGAATTTATAACCGAGAAAGTCCCCAAGTGAGACCAAGCCCAGAGAAATTACTTGCCTGCAAGGACATAGTACCAAGTTTCTTTCTTCATAACTACCTTACAATTGGTAGGTATATACAGTTACAGAAAAGTATCAAACAAATATCCTGAAGAAGCTGGAAACTAATTGGAGAGATCTTTTAAATTGCTTATCTAAAGGACAGAATACAATTTCCCTAAAAGCGTTTAAAAACTTACTGAGGCGGGAAACTAGTTTTAATCTATAAAAAATTAAATCCACAGAATTATGGTGGAATGTCTAAGTAGGATCTACCAGAACCATTTACAGTTTCAGGTGAAAGCATACAGTACTTTCTACTGCACTATCAACACAATCCTACAATTAGTCTGAAATAAGCATGAATGCAGATCCATTGCAATCTTTGTAATAAAGCGCCTTCAAAATTTAAAGAACAAGTGAAATGCTGAGATCCAAATTCTTTTCTATACATACCAACAATTTTTTTAAAAAAAGATCATTGCCCATTTGCATATAGAATGAAAAGGCTTTAGAGTCTTTTGAGAAATCAGCATGGAAGCATATGTTTACAGTAAATAAGGAGATTTGCTCTAAGTATTGCCATGACTATGGGGTACTCTCTAAATTCAAAAAACAATTTTCAGCATTCAGGTTAAGAGTTAAACACTTTGGTGTTTAATCAGGTTTAAACATTAATTAAGAGTAAAATCTGTTGAGTTTAAACACCATTTGTAAATTGTTCACCTCTATTATGAAGTTAGAGAAGTCAATACACTAAACATTAAGATTTCCTACTATATGCAATTATAAATAACTCAGTTCACTGGGTTTATACTGGTTGTCCAAAGATTCAAGTAATATGAGCTTTCTTGCCTTTATAAAGGAGAAATGAAACTTCTGTTTAATATAAAAATAGATTTAAACATTACGCTTTTTATATTCTGGTCAGAAATCTGAAAGAGTTACACAGATGATAGCGTATGCACTCATGACAATACAACTTCCAGGCATCACTGGTAAAAGCATACAAGAAAATGCATGTGTCACTAGAGGGAGATAAATACCAAATGTAAATTCAGTCTCTTGCCACCTACTTAACCACAAACTTGTATTCTGCTATGCAGAGCTGCAGTTCTCCCCCATAAGTAACCAATAATTTTTAAGAGTACCACATAACTGCTGATGTGAAAATTTATAGGCAAGAGGTAGTTACCAAAATAAAGTATCTATAAGGAACTAATTTTCCAAACAGATTTTTCTGGAACAGATTTTCCAAATTTGTGAAAAATACATGCCTGACTTGGAAAATGTCTGTACGCAGAAAACATTAAATACTTCAAGATGCCTTACTTGAGAAATCACCAACATGAGTGATTCACCTATATTCCTGGCAGTGTTTTAAACAAATTTTATGCTCATCTTGATTTATCTGAGCACAACACTGTTCCACAAAACCCAGAATCAAGGTCTTTGCTTGCTATACAGTAAAGCTGTATATTTACACAATACGAATAATCAAAAACCTTCAACTTCAAGAAGTCTATAGGGGGATGATTTCCACTTCATGTCTATTGAATAGGTTAGTATACTAGATGCCTAAACATTATTGACTGTTTAATTATAAATTTAATTCAAGGAGTAGAAATTTATAATGAAAATGTTTAAACAGTGTTTTCTAAATGAAAAATAATATCAGATACACTGTCACACATATATACTATCACTGACATGCAGAAAATGAGTACATTTGATAAATCACATCAAATTTTCACCATACACTCTCACAAAATGAATTTGAGTGTGATCAACACTATCACCTTGCTACTTGTAATTGCTAAGGAAGAGCAATTCTGTAGAGTACAGAAAGACAGCTTCCCTTACATTAACAAAATGCTTAATGTTACAGCCAAGTTAAGCAAACACCACTTCATTTTAGAACATGTTACATTGTAATTTACTCAAATGATAACTTAATATCTTTTTTTGCTAATGCTTGTTATCATTTACATTATGGAAAACATCTTTATAGATATTTTCCAAACATAACAACCAAAACATACAGATAATGTGCAATTTTACAAAACAAAAAGAGCAGTTTTAATAAAAACTTTTAATGTTGTCAAAACAAGTTTTTTTAAAACAACAACAACAAACTATGCAGCAAAATTCTGAAGTAGTTAACTTGTGCCTTTTTCCAGCTGTTTTGAGGATGGGTAAGGTTCCAGAGGACTGTAAGGGTATTTCTATACCCATTCTTAAGCAGGGAAAAGAAGGGAGGGGAGACAAATAGAGAAGGAGCAGGACTCTAGTCAGAGGACTACAGACTAATCACTGTCTTCTGCTCTCAGGTAAAACTATTTGTTCAACAATTACTAGGACACAAAATTTATGCATACAACCAAGGTAAGAACACCAGAAAACACATTTGTCAAGAACAAATCATGTCAAATCAAGCAAAATTCCTCCTTTGACAGGGCAACAAGCCTCATGGAAAGGGAGAATTAGCAGGTGTCACACATGCTGTAAGAATCCAGCACTGTCTCACAGCATTTGTCATAAAGAAGACTGAAAAAACTTAAACTCTAAAACTACACTAAGCATATCCATAAGTGTTTGGTAAGCCTGACTTAATACTTACCAGTGACTCATTATCAAACTTAGGCTATGAATCAAGTGGATTTCCACAAGTCTATTCCAAATACTAGTTACAAATGACAAGCTAAGAGAAACTGTAGGGGTCACTGGAGATGTCATTACAATTCAAAGCAACCTTGACAAAATGAAGTAGTGGTTTGGAAAAAACAGGGTGCAATTCTATAGGACAAATATGGAGTTCTGAACATATGACAGAAATCATCAACTATACAAACAGGCTAGAAGTGACTGGCTAGTAGGAGAGCTTCAGGATAGAACCTAGGGCACAGGGTGAATTATACAATAAAGCACAGATCAACATGTCACACCACCATAGAAAAGACAAGTATTTTACTGGAAATATGTAAACAGCAGCACTATCTAGAAGTAAAATGAAGTAGCCTTCCACTCTACTCAGCAGTGGTTTCAGCTGGAGAACTGAGCCTACTTTTTGCATGCCGCACAAAAAGAAGAGCAACAAAAAAACTCAGAGCCCACAAAACAACTTCTGAGAAAAGACTGAAGGGATCACGATCACTTAAGTCTACTGAAGAATTCTGTCAGATACAATAGTCTTAAAATATGGAAAAGATTGTCACAAATAGGAATGAATACACTCTCCACATTCTCTATCCATAGTGTAAGGAGTAATGGACGTAAGTCACAGCAAGAGATTTAAAAACATTTCAGTAGTAGAACAGACTGCCTGGAGAAACTGGGGGGTCTCCATTCAAATGAGGCAGAGACCTCCCAGATCCTGCTGGGTTCGGGGCCCAATTCTCTCCCATGCTTACCTCCGCTTCGCAAGGCAAAATGACAGGGCTACTAAGACTCTGCAAAGAGCAATCAGAGTTTATTATAGTGATGATCTTTAAAAGTGCATTAGACCAAATATTGATAAGTATAAATTATATACACACACATATATGTTTGTATATAAACATATACATGTTTGTCCTGATGTTATCACTCAGAGCATTTGTTCTGAGATCAGATTCACTCAGATCCTCTATAATCTTTCTTATTTTAATAAAAAGTAGACTGGAATCATTCAATTTAACTAAATTACATAAAATAACTGTTTTACACACGCAATTGATGTTCTCCTATTCACATGCCTTAGTCCAAAGTGGATACTCACATTTCCAATGAACTTCAATATATTTGAACAACTAATCCTGAATAATACTTCAATGTCACTCTTGTTGCAATTTTACTACATTTTACAGTGAATTTTAATTTTCAGTAGATTGCCTTTTTAAAAAATTTGTATAATAGACTTCTTGCCTATAAGGCCAAGTATTACCTACAGAAACAAAGTTAATGGCAAAACTACAAATATTTTCACAAGGCAGGATTATATGCAAAATTTAGAACTAAATGTCAGGGATTTTGGCTGAAAAGAAATTAATAAACCCTTTACAAAAAGCACAATAAATTGTGTGAAGAAGTCTTGTCCAAGCACATATTACCAAGGCTCCTTTCACTTTTATTATAAATTCCACTCTTCTTTCTTGTCTAATCCAGAAAACTGAGGTTACTCCTATTTTCTGCTTTTTATATACAGTAAATAATCCTGGGTATAATTAAGAACTCTTACAGTATCAGTGATAAAGCAACCTCCATTATCAACCAATTCCAAAATAGGCTTTTTACACTATTCATAAGAAAAGAAATGTCTTGACTGGAATGTATATTTGACTAGGTAAAAATTTACTGCTATTTTTGAGTTAGACTAACAAAGAAACATTCTCATGATTGCAACATGATAAACTACTGCCTTTTTTCCTGGTGGTTAATTAAAAAAATTGACATAATTTTTTTTTCACAGTACAATTTTCAGTTTCTATAAAACAAGCTGAACTTTGAATGGGAATAAAACCAGGTTTCTTGACTTTTTAAATTGCATGTTTTTTCTCTAAATGTCAATGAGCTTTATCAATATTAACTAATGCTCTCCCTGGTACCAAGAAATTCAAATGATGTCTCATTTAACTTTTTGTTTAAAAACATAGATATCCCCAGAGATCTTGCTTATGTCAACCACTCACTTCATACTAAGGATAATTATGCAATATGTCTAAATACTGTTTCCTGAAGACATTTGCCATCAAGCTGATGTGCACATTACTTCAGAAAAAATCTTCTAAACAGAATTAATCATACTTTTTCATTTGGCTGTGTAATTTCCATGAAAACTGGTATCATTAGAGGGAAAACCATTTGGACTACATTTGCTTTTCACGTGAGAGAGATTCTGACCCAATGTTTACAAGCCTCTCAGTATTAATTTTTACATTAGTATTGTTCCAGTATCCTTACAATGAATTCAAATCAATTCCTCAGTGTTGGTGAATTTATCCTGCATTCTTTCAATTCTGTGGTGTCAGCCAACTGACTCAACAAATGCAAACAGAGCAAGAAAGTCTACACCTATCACTTAACTTCCATAACTTCTTCCTAACAGCAAACCCCGGTCTGGTAGGCATTATTATTTATACATGCAATTCTCCCACAGGACAAAGCCGCTTATTTAGCAACAAAAGTATGTCTTTAGCTTAAGCCACTGCTGTAAGATCTTTTCACGAAAGACTTATTTCCATGCATCTCCTATACCAAGGCTAGGAGGCATGCATTCACTAAACAAGCAAACAAAGGAATAATATCAAAGTGACATACTATAAGAATCTGGACCAACTTCATTTTTGAAAAACAATTTTTTGGGGCCATGGGAATCAAATCCATGTATTTATACATAGTTTATTTCCAAATTAACACAAGCACAGAGTCACCTGCACATGACAATTTAAACACTTTGCTACAAAGTTTAATCTTACTTAGGAAGTAGGCCATGTAGTCAATTTACCAGTGCTAAACAACCTACCTGCATGCAAATTAAACCAAATTAAATGACTGCATAAGTAAAAGTCAATTTGTTTTACACAGCCCTATACAGGAAAATGCCATTGCTTCTTTAAATGGAAATGGGAAACTTGTTAGGAATTTTGTAACATGTTGGGAAAACAGCACAGAAAAGTAAAAGCTAGGGTTGAAAAAAGAATGAAAGGCTATAAAATGGTTGTCATCACGTAATGCCATTCCTGTCAAACCTGGGGGTTTTTTTTTGGTTGATTGGTTGTTCTTAGCCTTTTTGTTCTGGAGGAACAGTTCTCGTCAATAAACAGCATAATAAACAGTTCAACAGTAAATCTGACTGATGACTAGTGATGACTCAGTGATATCCCTAAGCATTAAACAAGGGAGAAATTAAAAAAGCAGATGAAAAAGGAAACATACAGAAAATCTCATGAGGTTAAGTTTATTAGAGTTATGCAAAATATTTGTATTCACACCAGGATTGAGACTGAGAAGGGTACAGGGCAAAAAAAAAAAATCAAAATTTAAGACCAGATTTGTCAAAAATGTTCTTATATTTTCAAATATATACAAATTATTTTTTGTGGGGTTTATTTTTTATTTGGGGGGGGTGTTGGGGGTTTTTTGTTTGTTTGCTTTTTTAGGAAAAGCTCAATATTCCTATTATGTTTGCCTGTTTTGACAGTGATCTGCTTTGAGATTTTGATTTCCCATGGATCCTTGAACCCAGGTGAAATGAAGCAACAACTAATTGTCATTGTTAATTCGTTACACATTACAACTGTATAACATTTTCAATTGCCAGCTATGAATGTTTATGACAATGATCTGCATCTCTATTGCCAAATGTAGATCTGTTGCTGTGCTCTTGTTCTTGTGTGGAATAGTTCTCAGTTTGCAAAGTCTTCTCTATTTTCTAAGATGAAGAATGCTAACAAGCATCTTAAGTTGCCAAAAAAATGGTCAACAGAACTGGCTCAGATCACCACTTATCAATACAGCTTATTCAGAAAGTTATGAAGAAAAACTTCGAAACAAACTTAAGACTAGAATTAATTTAGAAAATAGAAAAAACTCAAGTCAGAATTATACATTTCATGGATTGCATCATCCACAGATCTGGAAAATGTTATCAGACACCTGAAAGTCAGTAACTATAAAGCCTACCAAAACACAGGTCAAAAGGAGGCCTAGAGAAATGCCCAAGTCAATTTTCAGAGATGCAGTGAGCTACAGAAATGTTAGACATCTTTGAGATCCTCTGAATTCCAGAACAGCAAGTCTCACTATTTCTGACAAACTGCAAAAAGAGCAATTCTGGACAGTCACAATATCAAGCCTCAACACTTCTGAATGACGAAAAAATAACATCCTCTACTCTTCTTCACTCCCAACTTTCCACTCTCCCATTATTTTCATCCTTTGTTACTCTCAAATTTCTGAAAAAGTTTGAAAAAAACTGTAACGTCCAGCTTCCAACCCCAAAGTGTCATCTTTGTCAATCTGATAAATATTTGAGTTAGTTCAGAAACAACCTGAAAGATAAGATTTTCCTTCAAACGCGAGTATAGATAAAGAACCTCCACGCAAAAAGGGATAGATGACTTAAGATACCACATGCCCAATTCTGGAAGATGCATAGAGATTAAACATAAGGTAACTTTTCACATGCCTGTTCTTCCACCAAAGAAATAATCCCAATGATTGCTACAAAGCCTACATCTCAATATCCTTACTTTACAGAAGGCAAAGCTTAGAAGGATATTACATATCTTTTAAAATTTCCCCATAACAACATTAATGAAAAAGAAAACAATTAACAGATGCCAGTAAAACCCTAAATCCTCTTCTAGCACACAAATCAAAGTTTTCAATAGCATCAATATTACTTTTGAATCCTTCATTGGTTATGGATTCTCAGGTGATCCTGATAAATCATGCCACGATGGCAGGTCCAAATTTATTGCATGTCTTTCTGACTGGACAGAATTCTGCCCCAATTACTGACCTTTTATCTATTCAAAACTAAATTATGCAACTTTATCTACAAAGGGACACCATTTAATCAGACACTTCAAATATTACAACATGCCCTGAACACACAGATGAGCATGTAAGAGCAATGCTTTGAGAGCTACAATTGTTATAGTTCATTTCAAGGCAGTTGGTAGTTACTAATTAAGCATGTGTTCTGGGACATGAATTTCCAGAGATTACTACTTGTTTTCTATGGCCCCCATTATCATTTAAGTGCTGTGAAACTGTCCTAACTATCGAGATTGCATGTAACGATGTAGACATTCTTTAGACCAGGCAGCAATCTAAGCTTCCATAAAATTATGAAAAGGCTGTCGTGGTTTAACCCCAGCCAGCAACCAAGCACCACGCAGCCGCTCACTCACTCCCCCCCCCATCCAGTGGGATGGGGGAGAAAATCAGGAAAAGAAGTAAAACTCATGAGTTGAGATAAGAACGGTTTAATAGAACAGAAAAGAAGAAACTAATAATGATAATGATAACACTAATAAAATGCCAACAGTAGTAATAAAAGGATTGGAATGTACAAATGATGCGCAGGGCGATTGCTCACCACCTGCCGACCGACACCCAGCCAGTCCCCGAGCGGCGATTCCCTGCCCCCCACTTCCCAGTTCCTAAACTAGATGGGATGTCCCATGGTATGGAATACACTGTTGGCCAGTTTGGGTCAGGTGCCCTGGCTGGGCATGAGAAGCTGAAAAATCCTTGACTTTAGTCTAAACACTACTGAGCAACAACTGAAAACATCAGCGTTACCAACATTCTTCACATACTGAACTCAAAACATAGCACTGTACCAGCTACTAGGAAGACAGTTAACTCTAGCCCAGCTGAAACCAGGACAAGGCTTTTGACATTATTTCTGGACATTCTATACACTTCCTACCCCAAAGACATTTCTCCAGTAATGCAACTGAAAAATAACAGCACCCAACCTCTAAACTCATGCTTTTCCTCCACCAGATACAGTATGATATGTTCATGGTTTTACTTAAGACATAGTACTCTTTCATTATTCTTTAATAATAAAATAAACAGTAGTATTAAACAGATCACCAAATAAAACTATGTTCAGCTAGCATGGCAGTTTATATTTTTCAGAAGAATGTTTTTAATGCACTGAAAACTTTGGGTTTATACTTGTAGTAATGCCATGAAAGTGACCTCTCAGCTCACACTTAAAATTGCATTTGGGACAGAGCACTCCAGTTCTTCTACCTTTTAACCTAGGATTCCTTGCTGCAGTCAATCAGGCAGTAAGTCATAATGCAATAAAACCATTGCTTAGCACAAATAATATTTGAATTCTCATTCTGGTCTAGGAAATGTTCTATCTGTGATATCATAGTATCTGATTAGTATGTCAGTACTGCTCCCCCCTCTTTTTTTAAAAATCTGAGAAGTGGGAAATTGTAAATAAACTGTGATTTGGTAGTTTGTAAGTTTGGTGTCTGTACTTCACGTACATTCTCCAATATGATTGACAGTTATAAAATACTATACAAGAACATTACTGATTTGCAACTAGAACTCCAGAAATCAACTGCCAAAGAAGAGAAAGGCACTATTCTCACAGAGACAGGGGCAAATGAACAAATCCATTTGGATACCAGTTAATGCTACACATACTTCATAATATATTTCAAACCACTTCAGGTAGCCCAAATCTCTTCTCGTAACTTTGAAATATTAAATGCACTTACCCTGGGGAGATTAAATGAATAGCCACCAGCTCTACCCAACAAGCATATTTACTGGGTATCTGTAATCCAAGGACACTGCTGACTCTTCCTGGATTGTAATGGTTGTTAAGAACTTTCAAAGCAAACAAGACTCCTGCAAACAAGAAGAAATCACATAAAGAGATAAGTACTTGCACCCAAATAATAAAGAAATGCAAACAACTTAACTACTGAAATTGAAGTACCATGCAGTTTCACAGCAGCACAAAGCATACTGTTGCATGCCAGAACAGTTCTGTTTTTTCAGTGACTTTAAAAAAAAAAAAGGATTAAAAAATTACATATTTGTATAACAGCCAATTCTAAGTTGCTTTTTAATATGCCTACTCACTGTAGCTATTCAGGTATTCAAAACAATACAAGCAATTTTAAAATGGGAGTTCTGTTTGACATAATTGACAAAATTATTGAACTCAAAAAAATGTTCCATGAGTTGAGAAAAGCCATTACTGAAAACAAGACAAACAGAGACATGTGAAGCTCAACAGTAGGCTCAAATTCTGAATTAATGGAAAATCATCTTACATATATTCCAGAATCACTTGTTTCTGAAAAAGAAAAGTACATAAATCACCTTCACTCACAATAAATAATCATTCATTTCTAATTGACTGCAATGGTTTTATCATGCAAGCAAATAGCCAATGACAGAATGAATTCACACAATTTATTGGAACTTTCAAAACGTTTTTGAAAAATCTCCTCTCAAGAGAAAGCCCACACAGTTGTCTGAAAAAAAACCTGAAAAATTGACAAGTAAAAGATTTGACATGAAAAAGATAGCAGAGTTTAACATCAATACAGATATACTAAATAAAAACACAAAAAAGGTTTCCCTCCCCTTCTAACACCATAGAAAACAAGAGATAGCAAAATTTCTTAATCTACCCAGTGATATAAATATTGCTGTTTTAGGATCAAATACAAACAGGAATGTGTGTATGCACATCCACACACACTCATGCTATTTGCTGCTGATAAAACTGGACTTGTTCAGAAACTATGAATTTACTAAAGGGGAGAAATATTCAATAGCAGCAGTGTAGTTTAGGAGTCTTCTCCATCCAATACACCCTGAGCTCACCAGAACCCTGTCTATACAGCTTCGGGGGGGGGTGGTTTAGTTCTTTTTTTTTTTAAAGGTTTAAGTGTCTATTGGAACTGCCTGACCTGTTTGTCAGGTTCCATGCAAGGGGACAAGGGGCAGGTCTGTTTCATCCATTTAAAATAAAATAATAAAAAAAAAAATCCAGTCATCCTAAAACTCTTAAAACCTGCTAAAGTGAATGAGTCATAAATATGCATACTTACTGGCTCTTAAAGAAATAGCTATCAGGAAAATACTTGTATTTTTTTTCAACAGCTGTTCCATATACATGCCACTTGCCCCAACTGAAGAGAAATTACCTATGCTGAAGATCATGCTGAGAATGTTGAAGGTTTAGAAAGATCAACTATACATACTGTCAGAGCTACTTTAAAATCTGCTGCCCAAATAATGGTCAAATGCATGTGCACATAGGCTGCAGTCACACATTTCCAAGCTTTGAATACTCAAAAGATGCTGCAGAAGGTAAGTGACATCAGAACAGGTTGCAATACTCAACGCTAGATCTGAACAATGCATCTTGCAGAACATGTAAATTAAAAACCAGTTAGATAATCCCTAAATTGAGAAAAAGCTTAACTTCTTGTCCTCTGCACAAATGTATATCAGAGGCTTAGTCCCACTCTCTTTTTAGTTCACTAAAAAACCCAAAAGATACGTTCCAGCTGATACTGTAGTCTGGCTGACATGAGTCTCTTGGAAAGAATGACATGGGGACCCCATCTGGCCCATCACCAATGCTCTTCAGTAACTTGGTGCCTTTCGCAGTAAAGCATGGGAAGCCATAAACCTGCATCACCTGGATAATTATATCACTAAATCTAACTTCCCTTCTGTTGGTTCAAGGAAAGGGACGTATAAGTTGCTTGCTATCTTGCTAAGTGAGAAGCTGGAGACTAATCTGGTGAAAAAACCTTACAGTGAAATCTTAACACTACCCTATTATATGGTAGTATTATATTCCCAGTTATATAGTATAAAGAAGTTTCATCATAAATTCTTGAAATATTCACCCTTCTCATTCCTATTAAGAACTGGATTGATACTAAGCTGTTTTAAGGTATGGACTGACAGGAACATAGAGGAAAAACCTCATATGGATCGTGCATTGTATAAGTGAACACCCAAAATGGATACTACTTCACAACTTCTAGGTCTCAACTTCTCATCCTACGGTCTAGAATGATACAAGAAAAGAGGTTCAAAAAGAAGCTTGAGGGCAGCATCTCCCAGTTGTTCACAGGCAGTAGTATTACAGAGCACACTTCCCCCACAAATCACCCAGCAATAGTTGGAGTATACTGTATAAGAGCAAAGCCTAGAAAGTCCAGCTGAGACTAGACTGAGGGCACATATTTCAGTCATTTTACCACTAATAGTAAATACTCAGTAGGGTTCTGCAGTCACTGTTAGGGAACAGCAAGAGCGAGATGCTCCACAAAGGAAGGGTATCAAAAGGGAACAGGGAGGCAAGCAGGTGGCAATCTCCCCAGACGGGGCCCGGTCCCATAGTCCTTGGGCAAAGCGCACTGGGCAGGCTGGTGATGGTAAGTGGGCTTGGCCAGGAGCCCAGATCAGCAGGCACAACCTCCTGACAAAGCAGAGCCAAAGAAAGTCAGGAAGTCAAGTCAGGCCAGGTCAGCGAAGCACATGGCCAGGCACGGCACGACGTAGCTCAGACAGGGACAACACAGAGGGCTTGAGCTTAAAAGCAGCTGCTGAGCAATGGGGTGAAAGGCCCCCAGTGAAGCCTCTCTCAGCTATCTCGCACACCTCTCTTCCCGCTAGTCTGAGGTAGGTCGCAGCTACCCCATGTCAGAGCTGTCCTTAAACACAGGCAGTCAAACCCCTCAGAGGAAGAGGTTGTACTCAGCGCCCCTACAGCCACCATAAAGGCCAAGATTAGAACTGAGTATGTCTTGTTACCAAAGGCTGGGTGACCAGATAATATCTGAAGCTCCAAATGAGCAACTACCAGGATGTTCCAACTAGTACAGATTCAAATACCACAAGGAACCCTCAGAGGTAGTGTTGAAGCACCTTTCTCAGAGGTTGAAAAGGAGGGCTTGCCTTCTAATGCCTTCTAAGGTCCCAATGACAGCAAGGAAAAACCCTACACACCTAGAAGAGTAGTGCTACTTCTCCACTTAACTGCAGATTCTTTTAAAGAGAAATAGTTCATTGACTTGAAACTTTGATCTCCTAAATGAGAAGACAAGACCGTCACTGGAAGATGACCAAAATCAGGTGCTTGGATGTTTCTAGCAGAAGCAAATTTAGGGGAGTCTCTCTAAAGACAGGCATGAATAATTTGTAATTTGAAGACAAAAATTTTAAAGTGATAGGCTTTTCTAGAACACACCTAACAAGCATTATTGACTTCAGAAAATGAAAAGCTTCAGACTTCAAATAGTCAGTGACATTAAACAGAAAACATAATTCTACTAGGATGATCATATTTTTCATGTTCTCAGGTAAAGACACTGCTGGTCACAAGAACATGAACTGAACCACATAATGTTCATACCCAGAGTACATGGTTTAAATTAAAAAACAGGATAACTTTACTACCCATTTTCTGCATTCAACAAATATTGTTATACACTACTTATAAGTATTAATTTTACGTATGTAAATTGGAACAGCTATGTGCCTTACCTGAAAAACCTACGGCACAATTCATTTCATATGAAGGATCATCCAGAATTTCCATAAGCATGAATTCCAGCACCATATAAACAACTCCAATCAGCACTGAAAATACTGCAATTATGTATGCAAACCATATGCTCTTAAGCTTTTTTTCCAGCATTATACCCTTCCAAAGCATAGAAATCATGTTATAATATAAATGCCAGTCATCTGCATGGTGGACAGGAGAAAGCAGTAAACGCTGCCAGTTCCTTCTGTAGAAGCCTTCATTTACACTGATACACACTTCAGGCAGTGGCCTCACAGGATTCAGAAAGAGAAAAATGTTCAGTGCAAGTACCCCAAGGGTAACAGAAGGAATATTCTGGAGACCAACTTGAGAAATTTGATAAAGCAGCAAAAGCAGTCCAGCATTGACTCTTCCCTGCCTTCGTTGCATTATTACTTCTTATTCAAAAAAACGTGAAGATTATTTCGATGTCTAGTCTTGTGTTCAAATTCAAAACCATCCAAGTTTTGGAAATTCTGAAAGAAAAAAGATAACTGCACTATTATACATATACAGGGGTGTTTTCAAGCTCATCACTGTTTTTGTTTTTGTTTTTTTTTTAAACACAGCAAATTCTTCAAGCTAATCAGCTAAGATCTCTTCTTTAAATCAGAACAAAAATTCAAATGAGAAAAAAAAAAATCACAATTTTTAAACTGGTATAAGACACAAATAAAAGGGATTTATACAGATAATCCAGACATGCATTGTGAGAAAAAGGAGTCTGCAACCTCTCTTTCATGTCCCTGGACAGGCTTTACTTAATCTATAAAATTCCTGGGTGTTCTACACATATTCTTATTAATAACCTGATTGACTCAGAATTATTAAAATTTCAGGAAGGGAACCAGTTAAAAATTCTTCTCTAGAGTCTTGGTTCTCAGGCTTCCTATCTTTGCTACTATATAATTTTTTTCATGACCATTCTTCCAACCTTTACAAATATTCAATACAAGCTAAGAATGAAAATTAAAAGTTACAATTTCAAAAAGTAACAGAGACACAGCTAAGTACCCCTAAACGTAAGCTTTGAAAATTGTTATTGCTTTCCTAGTGACTAGAATTCAATGTCTAGTATAAAAGTATGTGATGGAGAAAAAAAACTGTAGGAGGAAATCATATACAAGAACAGCATATAAAATTTCTAGACAGTTATAGCAAAATATTAATCTCTGCCCTCTTTATGCCAGATAACATGGAGGATTAAAAAGGGCTATAAAAGTTCTAGATCTAGCTAGAAATAAGGTTACTATGGCAGAAACTGAGGAAGGGCATTGAGCTAAACTGTGCAAGCCTATAAAGAGAGGAGGGAAGAAGCTGCATTGGAGAACACAGCACAAGGTGATGTGGAGTTCTAAAGAGTGGAACCACCTACAAAAGACAGGAAGAATTTCAAGTAGCTTCTGAGGGCTACCCCAACTTGGCCAGTACTACTATTTTAAGTTCTCAAAACTCTCCAAGGTGACACAACAATAGCATGGCCAGTCTTCTCCACCTCTAGATGCCAGCTCTTCGCTGAACTATTGAAGATACGTCATGCATTATTTCACACATAAATATCAACTATGCAAAGTCAGCATACACTTACTCTTCAAAACTTTGCCATCAGGTTGCAAATGAAACTTCCTGAAATATCTAGATACATACAAAATTCTCATCTCAACACCCCATTCACTTCCTTTCCCATTATAATATAAAATAGTTAGAATAAGTTGCTAATATACCAACTATTTATTTAGTTTAAATTCCTTTCCAATTCATCACATCAAATGCTTCCTCTGTAAACATTTTTTATTAGATAAAGAAGCAACAATCTAATTCTTCTGGAGGACAGCAGAAAAAAAACGTGACGCCTTTACAAGGAAAAAAGGACAACAGCTCAAGATGCAAAATTTAACATTCCACGTTATATCTATCAGGATTTACTAAGTTTCACACTTCTACAGATCATTGGTATGCCTGCAAACATTTTACTAAACATTTTTCTTTAGGTATTCAGAATATCATTAATAATTTGATCAGGTTGCACCACACAAAGTAAGTGAACACATGAAAAAGAAGGAAATAACCTCTGAATGATGTAATCCTGTAACAGCAAAAGGAGCTAAGAAAACTGCACAGGGCTGAACATCAAAGAAGATCATCCAGGGGCCAGCCTACCTCCTCTACTTACATCTAAGTGAGAGGACCATATACTTCCATGCCATACACACATATAATTAATCAATGCCACTTCTTATATTTAAGTTATTCTGATCTCTGGATTTCTCTTTAAATTGCATTTATACTTATTATAGCACTTTAAGAGAAGGAAAAAAACCCTGGTAGTGTCCTGAAAACAACTGTAGTAGAACAGAATGCAAGTAAACATATTTGCCACATTAAAAGGAAATTCACCACATTTTTTCCCATGGTCTAATCTCAGAGATGCTACATTAACATCTAAGCCTTGCCTAAAACAAAGTCGAAAGAGCAGAAACACACTTTATACCACGCCTCTTGAACACATAACCAACTACTCTGGTACCTTTAAAAACCAGTTTCTAATCCTCACAGTTTAACTACAGAGACTACAGCTGTAGTCCCTACTAAGTTAAAATGAGCTAAGACCTCTTAAAGTGTAAATTGATTGTTGCAGATAATAAACATTGTCAGCCTTTGACTTTCTAATGTCAACATTAGAAAAAAAAAGTACTGAGATAATCGCAAGTTTAATCAATGTAATTCTCTTTTTCCACACTACATGCTCTGACACCAGGTATACCAACACCCCCTAACTGTTCTTATATGCATCTGCCCAAATCCCTGACTTGCCTCATACCACTGACACAGCTACATTTTTTCCACCACAAAACAGCAGACATAAAAACTGTTAGAATTTAAAAGTCAACATCATTTAAAAACAAGTTACACAAACTCCAAAAATCTTGCCATACCACCTTGTTCAAACTGCCAAATACTACGGTGTTACTTTTTAAGGTTTCCACCCCCTCTTTTGATGCTCTCTAATTTCCAATTTAAATATTTTTAACATACCTGCACCTAGGAAGAGAAACCCTCATACAGTACATATCTGTACAATAATCATGTAACATGACTGGGAATGGTTTGCACCATGATTACAGTAGTGCTATGTATTATAAATCATTCCCATTATTTGGAACAATCAAAAATGTCAGCCAAGACACATTATATGTTTGATTATAAAGGAAAAAGATATAAGAAAGAAAACAGTAGTTATTTGAGAGCCTTCTGGAATGCAACTCACTTAAAATATATAGGGCTTTCAACTGTTTGAACATTCTTGCTCAGCCTCTACTGTGTTTATTAGAAGCCTAATGAGGTTTGAAACAATGAAGCACTTATTACTTTTTCTTTTTTGAAAACATGCCACCCACTTCAAAATGTACAAATTTCCAGAACAGACTTGAAATGGGCATTTGTCTTGCATCTAGCCTGCCACGTGTCTGCATTTTTGTCACCTACTCAAGATAAATGTCTGAACTAACCATTCCCGGAATTTGTTTGTTTGTTTTGTACTAACCAAGTGCAAAGCATTTAAACTTTTATTTTTACTGTGACAACCCCCCTTACTCATTTGACAACCATAAAATATTATGACTTCATATTACTGAAAAATCATGTAATAAAGTAAATATTTTAGTAAATACCAGTTAAATGTTATACTGTCTTTTCTTAGAGTCATAATTTGAAGTTAGAGGAAAAGAATCTCCCTGTACCCTTGCTCCCCCCAAAATGGACATAACTACCCTGAAATTTTGATTTATTTTTATGTGAAGCAAAATCTAGCCCATTACCCTTCTCCTAAAAAAAAAAATAAAGTAAAAAAAAATCACACCATGACATAAGCCTAGATTTTTATGAATACACAGAAGCATATAAAATCTCATTCCCACCGATGGTGAATGCAGTCATGATCTACGGATTTTGCTGTTATCTGCATGGCACATCCTGATCTTCAGACCTGTCACCAACCTTCCCTCTAGAACTGCTTTGCTCTTCTTGTTGCTTTGCAAAAATGATTTGTAATGGAGGCACTTTAGCATTGTATAACTCTTCACTGAGAGAAAAAAAAATCCCAGGGTTACTCTTTCAGTTCAGATCAGGAGTATGATTTTGAAGTTAATTTCTCCACTGCCCCCACTTCACTGTGGTTCACATTGTGGAGTGGCCTGAGTGTGCATGAACTAGTCTCTTTTCAGATGAAACTAAACCAGATGTGTTCAGGAAAGAACCCAATGCACTCCATAAAATATTGCACATTCAGCCTACATGTCCAGATTAAAGCTACACCAATGTAAAAAACACCTGAAACATGCGAAGGATGAGTATCAGACCCTGAGCGTAAACCATTTCACACTACAGGTAAACCTCAACAGGCCCACACTACTTGTCTATGAAGATACAGTCTCAGGGTACAAAGATTTATCCAAGTAAAGACTGAAATAGAGCGTTTTTAGGGCAAAAGAAGGATCCTACACAGGAAGCAGAAGCAAACTGTAAACTCTTTTACTACTGGCCTCAAACTTTGGAAGGAGGGAGGAAGGCAGGCATAACAGAAAAAAAAACAATGCAAGAAAAAGCTCAAAAATTTGAAACATAATGAATCATCCTGTTTAATACATATGCAAGGAGAAGGTCAACCACAAGCTGTCACTTACAGTAAGCTTTGAAACACATAGTCAATTACGTAGTTCATAACAAAAGACAAGGTTGTGATGTAATTATAAAAGTAATCACTTTATTAAGAATTACTTCCGGATTAATCAAATGTACCCTTAAAGGGCATAACGTGCTTTCATTCACAAAGGAGTACTGAACTTTAAACTGAAAAAACACAACATTTTAGAATAGGTATAAGAAGTCATACATCCATAATACAAGTGATTAAAATGGCTGCATTTGTCATTTTGCATAAAATGACAAATGATTAATGACTTAAAATAATTTAAGTCAGTAACTACCTTGCTGAAAGGAAACAATACAAAGTCAAATATCAACATAAAATGACTGCATAACAGGCTACGTCACAAAGTCTTTTTCTTTTTTAATGTCCCACATTTTATTTAAAATGTCCTTCAAAGTTTTCTGTGAGAATAAGGAAGTTCCTGTGCCTCTTATGTCTGCTTCAGCATGGAAACTGAAAATGTGTTATAGTTCTTTAATCCTCTTAAGTACTACTAAAAAGAAGCCCTTAACAACATAAGCTTTTAAGCTAACAACTTCAACTTAAAACTGAAAATTGTGTTCTGAAGGGTGTGACAATTACTATTCACAATAAAATATACACATGTTAAACAATACACACCAAGAATACTTCTGGACACCTTAACCCAAGATAAATGAGACAGTTTTCAGAGGAAAGAACAGAAGGGACTAGGCCAAATCTCATACTTTGCCTCACATCTGAAGTATGAACATTTGAGACACTAAGCATATAGGCTTTTAATTGCCTCATTAGTTTGACTACTGCTATTTAATCTAAAAAGAAAAATACTCAGAGGCTGCAACCTGTCCATCCTTCAGGTAAAATACAGAGTTATTCAAATTGTTTCATTGTAATTATTAACTTGCAACATCACTGGAAGCCCTGCCAATTCAGGACTAGTGTTTTCATTCACAAAAGAGAAATCAATTTACTTTATATATTTATCAAATATTTAAATTTAATTAAAATCAATATACAAATCTAAACATCAGAATGAGCATCCACTGGACTCTTCTTTAAGGCTTATCATTGTAAAGACCAGTGTTGTGGTTTAACCCCAGCCAGCAACTAAGCACCATGCAGCTGCTCGCTCACTCTGCCCCCCCCCCCCACTCCCCCAGTGGGATGGAGAGAGAATTGGAAGGAAAAAGTTAAAACTCGTGGATTAAGATAAGAACAGTTTAATAGAACAAAAAGGAAGAAACTAATAATGATAATAATAACAATAAAATGACAATAATAATAAAAGAATTGGAGTATACAAAACAAGTGATGCACAATGCAATTGCTCAGCACTCACCAACTGATGCCCAGTTAGTTCCCGAGCAGCGATCCCCCCACCCCACCACCCTGGCCAACTCCCCCCAGTTTATATACTGGGCATGACATCCCATGGTATGGAATATCCCTTTGGCCAGTTCGGGTGAGCTGTCCTGGTTGTGTCCCCTCCCAACTTCTTGTGCCCCTTCAGCCTTCTTGCTGGCTGGGCATGAGAAGCTGAAAAATCCTTGACCTAGTCTAAACATTACTTAGCAACAACTGAAAACATCAGTGTGTTATCAACATTCTTCTCATACTGAACACAAAACAGAACACTATACCAGCTACTAGAAAGAAAATTAACTCTATCCCAGCCAAAACCAGGACAACCAGTTACATTCTCTGTCATCATTTGAGACTACTGACACTATTACTAAAATGTGCTGAAGATAACTATATTTTATCCATCTGCTTTCACCTCCTACATGGCATCCACTTCTAATTCAAAATCTTCAAATTATTTCAGTTGGCTACACTGACACTGAAGCCATAGCAAGCAACACTTCCTTATGCCATGCAAAGACACAGCATGTAGAACCAACGAGCTTCCTTAGGCCACTCTCAGGGACACACAAACTTGAAAGTTTTAATGCTAGCAGAGGTCGGTCTGATTGTCCAAACAGTCCCTTGGTTCTAAGGAGCTACTCCACCACTATGTACAGAAAGAATCAACTGCACATTTGCTCTGTCAGAACTTCCCTCAGAGCCAACAAAGTTGACTAAGCATGGACTGGAAGACTTATTCTGGAAATTACATTATGCATTTCAGATACCACCTTGACCCTCAAGCTGATACAACGCACTGCAGGCAATTTACACATTCGGCATTACACTGCAGCCAGAATCTAAACAAAACCAGCGATCCCAAGTTGCAAGAATAAAAATAAAAGCTAGAAGTTAAAAAAGGCAAAAAAAAAATCCCATAGTAGCAATATGAGAAATATTATTTGATATAACAAAGTCTTCGAAACCTCTTCAGTTTGTGAAAAATCAGAACAATTACTGAAAACTTCTTTACACTGTGATCCAGGAAATTATTGAAAATAAATGCATTATGTGACTAATCTACCACTGAACTCATTCCTTCCTGATCTTTTAGTTTCTCTTAAGTTTTCCTTCACTGAAAATAAAAAAAAAAGAAAGAGTCTCTTCAGGATTTGTACAGGAGACACAACAGCAATCTGTTACCGCTGCTTTTTTTTTTTGTTAGAAAACCTAAAAGCAACACAAGAGATAGTTCTCTCTAAATTTATGTCACATATAATTAGACAGATAGAGCATTTTTGACCAAGCTAGAAAGAAAAAGGAGTATGTCAATGGATAATTTCTTTCTTTGAAGCATCAGCTGTTGCTGAACCTCTATGGTCAGTTAGTCAGAATTACTTTATCATGATATTTTGAGGGGAGATAATGGACATCTTAAGTCCCTTACCAGTTTTGCGGAAGGAAAGGGACATGGAAGGGTTTGATAAGTATTCTTACTATCCCCATCTCTCAAAAGATGGTAATTAGTAACTACGTCTCAAAACACTATAATGCATCTACACATAATTCAAGTTCGAGAAGTAAAATATAGTTGTATCACTGTACTGGTGAAGGTGAGGGGATATCACACTTGTAAAAAAAAAATATCAGAACAACAGTGGACTGCAGATTAGGCCACAGTTAAAAGTTTTAACTTCACAGAAGTTTAACTACTTTAATTAGGGCCAGTGGTTTTGGGGGTTTTTTTGGGGTGGTTTTTTTTTTTTTTACTTGATTGCAATACTTACACTTCTATAAAACTGGGTAATTATACCAGAAAAGCATCCTCCTTTATCTCATGAATTTTGTAATATAATTAAAATCAAACAGCCAATGCTTCCCTGACTCTGCTTCAGAACTATGAAGCACAAGGGCTCTTACAAGTTTAGCATTCCTTAGTGTGTGTTGCTTCAAAGGAAAATTTGTCTGCAGTTTGTAGGAGAAAGGAAGGACAGGAAGCATACTTTCTAATGAAATCCATTTTAAATCATACTTCTTAAATATACAAACAATTCAGAAAAATACCCTTTCTAGTTTTAGCATTAACTCTCGTCAAGACCTTGAATCTCTGAATTAACAAAATGCAGCTCCAGGAAGAACATAAGTGTGCCATCTCAGGAAATTAAAGCAACTCAGGCATCATTAAATACGTTTTACAAACAACTGAATAACTTAAACTCAGTATTTACACAAACATAAGAAAGTTTACCAAATATAGTTGAGGTACATTTGTCACTGTTTCTCCTTTCATACAGGTGCAAGTTATTTGCACATTTGGGTTGCTGGGAGTTTTTTTACCATTTTAACAAGAAAATAGTTCTGGTCAGTCTGTTCTGGTTTTTTTTTAATCAGTTGATTATTTACATAACCTGTAAAAAAATACTGCTGTAGGGTAATGGAGTAAATTAAAAAACAAGAATGTTGAAGCCACCCAACTATAATGAGAAGCAGCGCATATTACGGTGTCACTGCATTCAAAATGAATTTGCTGCAGTTTACTGATAAGACAGGCGTATCTGGGGTTGGGACCTTGGGAACCAGCACTGTCACAACCCCCCGTTTTTGACGTGACAAACACTCTCTACTCTTGCAGGCACTGCTTCCTTCTACCGTCTCGAAAGCATTCGCAAGAGCAAAGTCCTACAGAAACCAGGGCGGGGTGGTGGTGTCATGCTAAGAGTTGTTAGACTGGGAGATAATAGGCATTTACGCGATTTCTGAAACTCAGTTCATTTCCGTAAACTTCGCTCCGCCGCTCTGCTTCCAGCGGTGGGCGACTTCCAAGAAGCCAGCTCCAGAGAGCTAACGGCTTCAGGGGAAGCCTTCCCCAGCCCAGACGCTTCTGCAGTGCTTTTGTTTCGGTGTACCGGACGGCCTCCTGCACAGGACGGCGGCGGCGGCGGCTGGCCGGACGCGACCCCCGGGCCCGGGCTGCGCCCCCCGCGCCCGCCTCGCCTCACGGCCGGCTCC